TAAAAGTAAAAGTTTGCTTAAGTGAACTGAAGGATGACGGCCCGCATAAATGAATGCGTGCTTGCAATTCCGCGGCGTCTCTCTCTCATTGCAAAAAGAGGCGTACTCACAGCGTACACGCTAGGACCCGAACAATGGTGAACTATGCCCGATCAGGTAGTAGTCGGGAGAAACCCTCATATAAGACCGTAGCGATTCTGACGTCCAAGTCGATCGTTGGAACTCGGTATTGGGGCAAAAGACTAATCAAACAATCTACTAACTAATTCCCTCCGAAGTTTTCCCCACGATAGCTGACAATCGATAAGCAAGTCTCATCTGCTGAAGCGAATGATTAGAGACCTGGGAGCCCAAACACATCAACCTATTGTCAAACTTTGGAGTATATAATAGAATGGAGGAGTGTGTAAAAGCTCATCTGCCGATGCACTAGCCCTAAAAACGATTGGCGCTGAAGCGTCGTGCCTATACTTGGTCGTGAGGGCATGAGGAGCGTTCATTACAGTTCGTTTTAAAGCCCTGGTGAGCAGGAGAGTCGCGGTGCAGTACGCAGAAGGGTTTGGGTGTAAGCCAGCCTGGAGCTGCTATCGGTAGTTGCAAGTACTCATGCGAGGCCCTGGAAGACTGACGTGGATAAGGGTTTTGAACAGCCGTTCACACGAGTCAGTCGATCCTAAGCCGCAAGAAAAATCCTATACTGATGTTCGTGTATTTTATTTTGAATAAAATCTCACACCCATTGAGTGAAAAAAATCCGATTCCTATTACGGTACCCGGAAGCGAAAGTCAGGCCCCGCAAGAGAGTTTGTCGGGGTAACCTAAAATGAACTGGAGACGACATCGGGAGATACGGGGAGAATTATCTTTTCTGTAGGAGATTTTGAGTTTCCTGGAATCCTCTTGCAGGGAGGTAAAGTTTGGAACGGTAAGAGCACTGCAGGCGGTGTTCGTATCTTTCTCTCGAACCATGTAAATCTAGCCTCTAGTCGATAGATTAATGTAGGTAAGGAAAGTCCGCAAATTGGATTTGTAACTTCGGGATAAGAATTCGGTCTGGGTGAAACTGTCCTTATGACTTGGACCCGAGCTCGGTCCCGTTTTTTTGCCCACGGATCTTTTTTGCTGCGAGGCTTTTGTGCCGGTTTCGGTCGGTCGGTTGTCTTCTTCGGCCGTCATACAACGGTCAGCTCAGATTTGGCACGGACTATGGGAATCCGACTATCTAATTAAAACAAAGCATTGCTATGGCCCTAGCGGGTGTTGACGCAATGCGATTTTGGTTTAGTGCTCTGAATGTCAGCGTGAAAAAAATCAAGCAAGCGCGGGTAAACGGCCGAGGTAACTATGGCCGTGCTGGAGTGCACGAACCAAAGCAGCGCAAAGATTGGTACAATAATGAGCTTGCATAAATAGACACGAAAATAGCTCGGTGGGCAGAGGAAGAGAAGGCACTTATGGCTAAAGAGGAGGCGAATTTTGTGAAGCCTCTAACTTCTAACACCAAGACGAACTCTGGAGGCCATAAAAGGCCATAGGTGTTTCCCAAAGTATATATTCGCCGTGGCGAAGATAGTTAACTCGTTGACTTTGTATGGACAGGGTCGCGCGTTCTAATCCCCGCTCTGGCAATCTGACATCGGGCAGCGTGATGTCCATTTTCAATTGACAATATAGAACAAAAAATGTTTCCAAATGAAAATAAGCCCATCTCGGGCACTGCGGTGTGAAATGGCAATGGGAAATCTATCACACTATTCTTCCCGGAATCAAGTTGGAGAGTAACTCAGCTCACGGACTTGCCCTAGGGCAGCACACCCATTATTATTTATCTCATATATAAAAATGGAGCTCTGGATCAAATGATCCGGTAAAACTCAAAAACGGCTAAACCTATTTGGCCAGTCTTAGTCTGTAAAAATTTGTCCTAATCAGTAGGTTGTTGGAAAGGTGAGATATTATTTCAAAATCGCGTAGAAACTTTACATTTTTAAATTGAAATTTTTTGTAGAAGCGTAATTTAAATAAAAAATAATGGACGGTGGCTAACACGTCAAATGGCAAACGTTTCTGACAGATGATGTTCAATTACGTATAATAGGATGTTTTTCGAGAATATTATTTAATTGTGATCAAATTGTAATAAGTAGTTTTGTTTATAGTTTTATTTTTACACAAAAACGTTATTAAACGGATTGCAAGTGTTGATAGAAACTCAAAATATCATCTCTTTTGAAATATTATTATGAAAATGCATTTTTTAACGTTGTGGCACTCTTTTTTTGCAAATCATATTTTTCTCAAACACGGTGCTCTGAAAGATCTCATTTGTATCATTATATATACTCATTGGAAATTTATAAAACATTTTCTAGGTTATAATATTTTTTATTTATGTTATTTAAATTCTATTTAATTTAAATAATATTTTCCCAGAATTTATCGGATAATAGATAGTAATATATAAAGGTCCGGAGTTAAAATGATCCACCACCAATGTGTCAAAAAACTAGTAAAGTTAGGCATTGTTTAACAACAATATTTGAAAGTAGAGAGAAAAATTGTATAACTAGCTATACCCTTGATTCTCATCACATTGCTATCGGGAGATAAACGATATTTTTTGAAAATCTATAATAAAAGTGTTTTCTTCCGTTGGTTGTTTTTCAGCGTTAGTTAAAATGTAATTATTTTGTAAAATATCTTTAAAATTAAAATAAGACACTAAAGCTGTTTGCCACCTGGCCGTTCCAAGTTACCCCCTCTATAGGATAAAAAGGTCTCAATAACATTTTTTTGAAAAACATCAAAAAGCACATTTCTACAATGATGGAGTAGCTGGCAGTCTTACTGAACGTAGTCAGATAATTCTTCGTTCGAAATGTGTTATTTGTTGTGATATAATTGATATGGTTTTCACAATGTAGTTAATATTTGCTAAAAGTCAACTTGAACCTTTGTGCCTCGCCCTACTCTACATATACACTTGTTTTTAAATTTACTTTAATTCATCGAATGTTACTTGAAACTTTTCAAAAAGCAGGTCAAAGAACAAATACTTAATTCATTTATTATCTCTCCTCGCAGAGATTTGAAGCCATTGTATAAGCTCAGTAGTATTATTTACAATTATACACAAAATTCAGAATCCAAAAAGAATCTGAAAATCTTGAAAAGTAATCAATAAGTCAAAAGACCAAAAAAGACTTTAAGAAATTCAATCACTAAACCAATGACGAAACAGTTACACAATTTTCCGCAAACACGTACGCACACATTTTACTTGTTACACAAATTCCAAACGGACAACATACTACGTTCGGATTTTTTAAGAAATGTTCGTTTTTATAAGAAATAAATTATTTATTTTTATTTTAATCTTACAATTAGTTAAAAATTTTCATATAACTTGAAGTTTATCAATTTGTGTTTCATAATTTTTTGGTGCAATTTTTGTGTGTTTTTGTGTTTTTTTTTCAATTTATTTGTATGATGAGTTCTTTATATTTGTTTACGTCTATGTTTGTATTTTCACTTTTATATATTTTCACAATATATATTTGTTATAAAACAAATTTATTAAATTGATTAGATTTATGATTTTTTACATGTTTTTATTTATATTTTTCTGAACTTGTGTATTTTTTAAATTGTTTTAAATTGTAACCCTGGATTATTTAATTGTAGCACTGAAGACGGGTCAAATCAGGACCCGAAATGTATGATTTCATAATAAAAACATTTTTCTTCAATAATATATATATATATATATATATATATACTTGATTTCTTGGAGGGCGTAACATCAAGTAAAAAATACGGTAAAGATTTTTTTAAAACATCTTTATTTTTACATACGTTTCGACGTAAAATTCTACGTCATCGTCAGTGGTTCTACAATTTAAAAAAAGAAAAAAAAACAGAAAGTAACGTTACAAATTGAATATATATAAGCAATAGTAAAAAGAAAAGGTTTAACTAAAGAGACAGACTAATTATATCTAAACCTTAAATTATAAATTGCATAAAACATTACTTACTTGAATTTCTTAGATTATCACTAACACATATTAATATAACTTGTAAAAATTAATAATTAGAAACAAGCACTAAATGTCAGTAATTTCTTTTTTATAAAAAGAATTAATTAATTCAAAAAACAAAAATCAAGGGCAAACAATGATCACAGAACATTTAAAACTAAATAACCATACGTTCAATTTTTATGACGCAAAAGTTCTTCATCACGAATCGAAAGTCTCACAAAGACGTTTTTCAGAATCGGCCTATATTTTCTCGGCCTTCATTTGCGAAAATTACCAATTTGTTCTAAATAATGTTTTCCAATTTATATCGAATACCTAACACCACATTTAGACAACATTATCACGCACACTTGCACAGTGCGCCAAGACGTTGGGTCAAACGCGAACACATGTGTTTGTTTTTTTTCAAAATTTTGACTCCGCATCTCAGCCACTTACAAAAATGTTATTCTGTATGGCACTGGCCTCGGATACACGTGTATTTGTATAATATTTTATTTATTAATCACTTGTTATCTTTTATTCTTTTTATAAAAAAGAAATTACTGACATTTAGTGCTTGTCTTTAATTATTAATTTTTACAAGTTATATTAATATGTGTTAGTGATAATTTAAGAAATTCAACTAAGTAATGTTTTATGCAATTTTTAATTTAAGGCTTAGATATAATTAGTCTGTCTCTTTAGTTAAACCTTTTTTTTACTATTGCGTATTCAATTTATAACGTCACTTCCTGTTTTTTTCTTTTTTTTAATTGTACCACTGACGATGACGTAGAATTTTACGTCGAAACGTATGGAAAAATAAAGATGTTTTAAAAAAATCTTTACCTTATTTATTTTTTACTTGATGTTACGCCCTCCACGAAATCAATCATACATTTCAACATCAAAGTTAAACATTTTCAACATATATATATATATATATATATATATATATATATATATATAACTTACTAATTATAAGGTTCATCCGGCACAAAAGATGGATTTTTCTCACCGCTCATATCGGCTTCCTAATGAATCTAGAAAATCTTTTGGATCTGCAATTAAATGTAATTTATATATATATATATATATATATATATATATATATGTGTGTGTAAATATATATATCCTACACAATATTATTCAAATGACAGATGAATACTAATCATATGTCAAATGGTTTTGACAAATTGAAACAGATTATGTTCAGTGTTAGATAGTGTTGTTATTCTTTTAATTTTAAAATTTCATTATTATTGAAAATATATATATTTTGAATTGCTAATAAGAATGCTTATTTTGATTTTATATAAAGTCTTTATTTAATTCTCAAGTGACCATTTTGTATTGATTACTACACACATACAATATATTTCAAACGCTGTGCTGTAAAAGTACTTATTGGTTTAATGTGAATAATGTGTTACAAAAAAAACATTTTCTGAGTTATATTATTATTGCATTTGGGTTATTCAAATTGAGATCCTAAATTTGGAATTTATCGAAAGGAACACCATAGACATTTTTGTCTAATCACTTATTGCGTGTTAAAATAGACAGCGATATGAGCGATATAAGAAAGTTGGTTTATGACACAGATAGTAATTTTGGCAATATTATATTCATAAAAATTTCAATTATGTGTAAATACAACTACAAGATCTTCGAAAACAGAATTATTTAAAAATTGCTTATGAAGCTCGCATTATGGCATGTAACATCAACATAAGTACAGTTTAATTAGAAGTATGGAAAGTATCAGCAGTATGAACTTGCATTATATTACATGATTTCATCATCCAAATAGCCCTTCTAATGAAAAAATTAAAATAGTTAAACATATTTTACAGGGTAATAATTTTTACAGATTTTTCCTTATGTTGTTCAGATACTAATGCTGTTATTGTTCGGCTCTTTTTCAATTACTACTATATACAAGTCATGGTGATAACAAAAATGCCACTAATTTGGATACACGGTTGCAAAAATGAAAAATCAAATTAAACACATTGAAATTCATCACAATATGTACTCATGTTGAAAATGTACATATGTTCAAGCAAATTTATAAAGAAGAAATGTCCATTTTATATAGCTATATAACAATCCGGGGTAAAACGCTAAAATGGCTGTACGCGTTGGGCCCAGTCTTAGTTGCATAATTTTATATTCTTTAGTATTTATAAAACATTTTCTAGATTATATCGTATTATATTTATTTAGATTATTTAAATTAAAAACCTAAATTTGAAAGCGATCGAAGGGGACATTTTGTCGATTAACTTATTCCCAGATATAACAGACCACTCGGTGGTGATATAACAGATGACTCGGTTGATAATATAACTTTGAAACACACACCTGTAAAAATGTCAATGCACAAAATTACAAGCTCTCTGGAATAAAATATTTTGAAAATATATTATAATTATCGCACTCAATTAATTGTATCGACAGTTTGGGTACTAGAACAACTGTAGCAGAAAAAAGATTCACTACAATTTTGAAGACTTACAATTTTGAAGGAATTCCATCCAAACGATATGTCAGAATCCATGCAATTTAGACACAGTTAGGTATGGTTCATGTTTTATTAAATCACTCTAAAAATTGAAAAAGATGAAAAACTTCAACGATCATTGGATAACGCAATGTAAAATATAATTCATTAATGGTTATTTTCCACTAATTTTTAAAAATAAACTGAATTTTTTTTCTTGGAATTTATTGAAGAATGGATAGTAATATATGAATATCCGGGCTTAATAAAGTCCCCCAACAATATATCAAGAACCGGTGAAGTTTAGCATCATTCAACAACAATATTTGAAAGTTCAGGGGAAAAGATGTATAACCAGCTATAACCTTGATTCTTATGACTTTGCTATCGGGAGATAAACGATAATCTTTGAAAATCTATAATGAAAGTAGTTTTTTGGATTGTAAGCACTGCGATTTAATTCGCGAGACCTTAACATAAATTTTAACTATACGCTATTTAATAGTTTTATAAAATGTAATGTTAATTTTGAGTGAGAATCAATAGTTTTCTTTTTATATCCACTTTAAAAACTTACATCTGTGAGGGGCAAAAATGACCAATTGAACATTAGCCATGACTAAAAACTAAAATAACTTGAATTGAACTATACCATATTCTTATATAAAGTGTATAAAACTTCCAGTTTGATTGTATTAAGAAAATATAGACAAATGAATATTGTTATTATAAATTATATAATTCATTATTGTACAAGTACACTTTGGGATTTATTGTGTTTATAATACCTCATTGTCTGTGCCATTCAAGCAACACATCCTTACACTCCTAAAATAAAGTATTATTTTTTTTATTCTCTGAATTAGAAATTGTTTTGAGTATACCTTACTTGTCAAAATAACGTTTGCCGGGTCAGCTAGTCTTATATATAAAAATGGAGCTCTCGATAAAATGATCCGCTAAAACTCAAAAACGGCTAAACAGATTTGGCCAGTCTCAGTCTTAAAAAAATTGTTCTAAAAATTCGGAAAGGTGAGATATTATTTTTATTATTTTTCGGGTCTTGATTTGACCCATCTTCAGTGCATACAAATAAATTTGAAAAACAAAAGTCGACAAAAAAGTGATAAAACGTCGAGTTATGATAAATTTTAAAAAAATGTAAAATTAAAATAAATAATATATATCTTATATATAAAAATGGAGCTCTCTTTCAAATGTCTAAGTAAAACTCGAAAACGACTAAACCGATTTGGCCAGTCTTAGTCTTGAAAAATTCGTGCTAATCAGTAGGTGGTCGGAAAGATAAGATATTATTTCAAAATTGCGTATAAACTTTACATTTTTAATTAGAAAATTTTTGTAGAAGCGTAATTTAAATAAAACAATGGACGGTGACTAACACGTCAAATGTCAAACGTTTTTGACAGATGATGTTCAATTACGTTTAATAGGATGTTTTACGTAAATACAATTTAATTATGATTAAATTGTTGTAAGTAGTTTTGTTTATAGAATATAAAAACGTTATTAAACTGGCCGCAAGTGTTACTAGAAACTCAAAATATCGACTTCTTTGAAAAGTTATTATGAAAATCCATTTTTTGACGTTGCAGCACTCTTTTTTGCAGATCATATTTTTCTCAAACGAGGTGCTATGAAAGATCTCATTTGTATAATTATATACTCATTAGTATTTACAAAATATTTTTCGAGTTATTTTATTTTTTATTTATGTTATTTAAATTCAGAACCTAAATTTTGTATCGATCAAAGGAACATTTTGTCAAATAGCATTTTTCGAATTATAATTTCCCAGAATTTATCGAAAAATAGATAGTAATATGTGAAGGTCCGGGGTTGAAAAGGTCCACCACTGATGTGTCAAAAACCTGTAAAGTTAAGCATTGTTTAATTACAATATTTGAAAGTAGAGGCGTATAGATGTATAACCAGCTATAACCTTGATTCGCATGACTTAGGTCGTTAGGTAGAAATGTTAGTTTTTAGTAATCGTCAGAATAAAGCTTTCTAACATCTTATTACAGTTATATATCGAATTACTTTTATAATAAACTGAAAAATAATGTAGTATGATTTTGTTTTCTTTAGCGTTCAAATCAAATGCAACTATTATAACTTGTTTTTCACAAGAAAATTAATATTCTTCATTCTTCATTATTTTTCAGTTTATTATAAAAGTAATTCGATATATAACTGTAATAAGATGTGTTGATGTTGAGGGGTTTCTCAACCCCTTTCGAAGTATTTTATACTCCGAGGAATAATAAAAAAAATTAAATGTATTCAGAAACAAAAAAAACCAATTGGAATACAAATATAATTTAAAAATAAAGTTCTTCTTAATCCGTAATAAATAATAAACTAAAATATATTTCTATATAAATTTTATGTAAATGAAAACAAAGATAAACACTAATATTAATATTGCATGAAAATGTTATCTGTTTTGAAAGTCCAAGCCAGCAGCTACTTGGTTGGATCTAGAACATCAGCGAAGTCGGTTGGATAGGTTGAAAAGGAATTCGAACACACTGATAACAAATAAAAATAACTGGTTGACTTGACACACAATAGAAATTTAATCCACTGATAATATTGAGCGGATTGTAAACACTGAAAGGAACTGAAAGTACTTGTTGAAAGTGACTGAATGAATGAAAGCCACGGAATGAATCGACTCGAATCCAAACTATTGCCTGCATCGGCCTTTTCTGAGTCGGAATTGCCCGATTGCGTAATTTTTTAAACGTGTTGTCCGAGTAGAAAATCAAACCTTTTGCAGGTCCGACAACCTATGCAGGTGCGGCGCAAACATATTCCCCCGACTAAAAGGTTAGCCTTTTATACTTCTGAAAATACTCGAAATTGGTACATAGTGAACCTCATGATTAGGAAGGATAGAATTGCCAAAATAAATTCAAACTTTCATTCAGAGTAGATCGGGGTTACGGAAGCCTGACCTCGCGCCAGGGTCCCGCTCTTACTACCTACCACATTCACACAATCTAGATTGCGGTAATTTTATTTTCGCGCCAGGGTCTAGATTTTTGACATTTACAAGAATCTTTCAGAGACTATGAGGGGTGTTCTCAACGTCCTGGTGATTGAAAATTTGACAAAACTATATATATAGAAGCAAATATATCATGAGATAGAAAAGTTTTTTTTTTTTGTAATGAAATTTAGATATAAACTATTGAATAGGTAGGGGGCATAGCTTGATAACAGGCCGCTTGATTAGGGTATGTCCCGTTTTTATCAATGCCACTCGAAACACTCCACCCGGAAAAACCTCTTCAACTTTTCCCAACCCCTAATGGAGCAGACGCGCATTCTCTTGTTTTACAACTACCAAATCACCCTTTTTAATAGGATTAGTGACTGCATTCCATTTCTGTCGGACCTGTAGCTCGGTGAGATCTAGCAACTCTTTTCTTTTAGTCAAATTCAAGTTATTAATAATAATAACTTATTATAGTCAACGGGCAAATCCGACAGAGGCTCTTGCATTAAGAAGTGCGCAGGCGCAAGAGGTTGAGGATCCGATGGGTCATTGCTCAGCCAACATAACGGTCTTGAATTTAGTAAGGCTTCGATTTGATTGAGGACAGTATTAAACTCTTCGTAGGATAAAATTTGCAACCCTATAACTTTAAACAAATGGGTCTTCACTGATTTAATATGCGCCTTCCATATACCTCCAAATTGTGGGGCAAACGGTGGATTAAATTTCCATTCAATATCATGTAAAACCAATAATTCATTGAAACGCTTTTTATACTCTTCGGAATTTAGAAGAAGGAATAAGGAATCAAGAGTATTTTTAGCTCCTATAAAATTGGTTCCACAATCGGAGTAAATACATTTAATAGGACCACGCCAGGCTAGGAATCGTTTTAAGCAATCTAAAAATGTATCGATTGTTAAATCTGAAGCTAATTCGAGATGTATCGCCTTAGTGGCTAAACAGATGAACAAGCATATATAAGCCTTGTAGGTTCGAGCGCCTCTGTGACGACTCATGGAAATATTGAAGGGGCCTGCATAATCTACGCCGACATTTAGGAAATCTCTACTGGCTTTTATGCGCGGTACTGGTAAGTCGCCCATGAATGGGAAAATGGGTTTCGGATTATGTCGAAAACAAGTCATACACTTGTGAAGACGATTACGAATTTTTGCACGAGCCGACAAGATACAATATTTTTGCCTCAATGAAGATAATACTAAGTTTGATCCAGTATGTAAATTATTAATATGGTAGTAATATATGAGACATTTTACTACTTGGTCTTTTTTTGGCAAAAGAAGTGGATTGTTATTAGTCGTCAATCCTAATCTACCTTTAACGCGTAAACAATTATCAGAATCCAAAACCAAATTTAGTCGGCAAAACTTCTTTGAACAAGACTTTCCGTTCGTTAATAGTTTGAATTTATCGAAAAAATGATGTTCTTGGACTAATCGAATAATAATTACCTCGGCTTGTTTCAAATCTGAAGTCAAAGGTCTGTTTCGATTTGTTATAATTTTACAAAACTTCAATATATGAGCGAAAATTCTTACAGTTTGTTTCAATTAGAATTTTTTTGCGTTAATTCATATAAAGGATTGATCGGTGGTATGACACTCTTTACTATTAGAACGTTAGCTTTTCTTTCTTGATCAATATCTCCGGAAGGTTCAACCGCTTTTGCGGGCCAAGTTGATATAGGACCGTTTAACTAATCCGGCGCAAATAACCAATTCTTATGTTGGATAAATTCCTTAGGTCGAAGACCTCGGAAAACACAATCGGCTGAATTTTGATTAGAAGGAATGTGAAGCCATTGTGCATTAGGAATGAGATCCCGTATTTTTGTTACCCTATTGGCTACAAATGTCTTCCAACAAGTAGCAGGCCCTGCTAACCAGTGGAGGACAATCATAGAATCGGAAAAACAATAAATGGAATCAAAATCTATACTATGTTGGTTATTCGTTAATATAAAATTCAGAAGTTTTGACAGTAAATGACAAGCACAAAGTTCAAGCCAGGCTAATGTTTGGTTTTTAATCGGTGTTACTCGTGATTTTGAAATCAACAAGAAATTCGGTTTGCCAAGAGATTTAATATAAACTACCGCTCCATACGCTTGCTCTGAGCTATCCGCGAAACCCAATAATGAACATTTGTTTTGTTTTGACGTTTCGAGATAAGGCGGAATCTGATAGTTATTAAGATGCTCTAATTCGGAATATACGGCTAACCATGATGTAATAATAAATGATGGTAATTCCTCATCCCAATCGATTTTTAATGTCCAAATTTTTTTCAATAATACTTTTATCTTAACAACTATCGGAGTAAGGAAACCCAGAGGATCCCAGATTCGCGCTATTACTGAAAGAAGTTGTCTCTTTGTCCATTTTCTCCATGTAAGCTTTATTTCGAATGAAACATTATCTGATAAGGGATTCCATTTTAATTCCAATAATTTTGTAGAAGATTCCGTTTCAAAAATTGATTTAGAGAAATGTTTATTTTGTACATCAGAATCAGGAAAAAGTTTACGCAGATTAAAATTATTAGATTCCCATTTTTTTAATTCAAAACCTCCAGACGATAATATAGTCTGCAAACTCTCGCAAATGGTTTTAGCGCTATCCAAGGAGTCGATACTTGTAACCACATCATCAATATAGACATCGTTCTCAAGAATTCTAGAAATAGATTGAGAATATTTGGAACATTCGTCTCGGGAAAGTTGTTTGATGGTTCTGATAGCTTGAAAGCGAGATGACGATAAACCAAAAGTTACAGTATTTAATTCATAGATGTCAATGGATGCATCGGGAAACGGTATCCATAAGATTTTTTGATATTTTCTATCCTGTTTACGAACCCAAATATTACGATACATTTGTTTGATATCAGCTGTTAATGCTATAGGCCCGAAACGAAAATTTAGAAGGATTGAACAAATGTCGGTTTGTAATTTAAGACCAACATGCAAAATTTCGTTCAAGGAAGTGAATTCTGAATTTTTCGCAGATGCATCAAACACAACGCGTAAAGGCATGGTGGAACTTTCTTTTTCGACTGCGAAATGTGGAATATAATATCCATTTTTCATTTTAATAAAATCATTGACTTCATCTACCGGACAATAATCGACAAAGGATAATTGGTTTTGAGTCAGGTAATCTTCTATAACGGCGGCATATTTTTTATGAAATTCGGAATATTTTACAAATTTATTTTCAAGCATGTGGTATCGCTTTAAGGCTAAATGAAATGATTTGTATAAATTCCTGCCTTCACTTTTAAAAGGCAGCGCTACTACATATCGTCCATCTATGGAGATCGCGTAGTAGTTGTAGTAAAATGGTTTTCGCATAAATCATCGTTATAAGAGAGGATTATTTCGGGAATGTTTTCTAATTGTAAGAATTTATTCATTTGTAATTGAAGATCTGAATCTGAAACATTACATAAATTAGTAGAAGTGCCGGTATTTTCAAATAAATTAGGAATGGAACCTAATATTAGATAACCCCACCGGGTTCCTAGGGCCGCAGGTGATCTGGTTTTTATGATTTGGTTTCTCATTAGTGATTATTGGTCATACCATAGACTTGATTTTTTGCTTGTTGTGATTTTTAAAGAAACTGCAGGAGGTCTTGATATTTGGGAAACTCACCTTGATAAAAATGCTCGAATTTTTCTTGCAACAACGGATCGAGTTTTGAGAATACTAGTGACGTTATTAAGAAATCATAGGCGTCGAGAATATTTAATTGGGAAAGCGCTTGCACCGTAGTATCGAATTTTTCAAGGAATAAATTTATTTGTCCAGATGAAATGATTTTGAATGATAATAGTTGTTTGAAATAATTTGTGGCTAAGTAACGTTTATTTTGGAATATTTAATGAGTGCTTCCCAAATAATTTGATAATTGTTAGTAGTATTGAATAAAATATTTTTAATACCGGACCCTGTAGCGCTCCTTTTAAAAAATGGAATTTTGATACATTATCTAACTCGGTATTTTCATGAATTAGTGAATTAAATGTTTCATAGAATAATGGCCATTGTTGAATATCACCTGAGAATTTAGGTACTTCAATGGACGGTAAATGTTGTTTGGGTACAATGTCTTTAGCTGAAGAACTATGCACATTTTTATTTTCTAATAATTTCTCAGCGTATTTTAATTTGGCATACATCGTTTCAAGTGCCTTTATTGCGAAATATTCCGGAATGAAACTAAGATTATCTAAATATTTTAATTTATTTATTTCATCGCACAATTGAATAAATTATTCACGAGCATTTTCAGTAATATATTAATTTTCAAGAAATTGTGTCTTATTTGAAGGTTTATCAATCTGTTGCGATAGATCGTACGTTTCTTGCACAATTGAAAAATACATCTCTCTCTTGGCGGTTAGACGTGCAATTTCTGCACCAATATTGATTTTAGGCGCCATTATATATTTTTGTTTTCTGTATACACCAATTAATCCTAATAATAATTAGGATCCGGCTCGAAGAACCAAATGTTGATGTTGGGGGGTTTCTCAACCCATTTCCTCCATACTCCGAGGAATAATAAAAAAACATAAATGTATTTAGAAAACAAAAAAAAAACCATTGGAATACAAATATAATTTAAAAATAAAGTTCTTCTTAATCCGTAACGAATAATAAACTAAAATATATTTCTATATAAATTTTATGTAAATGAAAACAAAGATTAACACTAATATTAATATTGCATGAAAATGTTTTCTGTTTTGAAAGTCCAAGCCAGCAGCTACTTGGTTGGATCTGGAACATCAGCGTAGTCGGTTGGATAGGTTGAAAAGGAATTCGAACACACTGATAACAAATAAAAATAACTGGTTGACTTGACACACAATAAAAATTTAATCCACTGATTGTAAACACGGAAAGGAACTGAAAGTACTTGTTGAAAGTAACTGAATGAATGAAAGCTACGGAATGAATCGACTCGAATCCAAACTATTGCCTGCATCGGCCTTTTCTGAGTCGGAATTTCCCGATTGCGTAATTTTTGAAACGTGTTGTCCGAGTAGAAAATCAAACCTTTTGCAGGTCCGACAACCTATGCAGGTGCGGCGCAAACAAGATGTTATAAAGCTTTATTCTGACAATGACTAGAAACTAATTATTCTATCTTCCTGTGTTTATAGTATAAACTTTATTCCTATTTCAAACACCCCAGCGTTGGAGAATTAACAGGCACTGATACGAGTATTTAGGAACTAGTTTAAAATATCTTATAAAATATGTATATATAAATGAAAAATTATAAATAAATATCATTTATAAAAAAAATGTTTTATTTTATTTTATCAACATGCAATACAAATACATTTATTTTCTACTATTTATAAATTTCACATTATTGTGTTCTATATGTAACAAATTAATAATTATTATTATAATATTTAACCAAATAGATGAAAAAAATAGATGTAGTGAATAAATAAAAAAATAATAAAAAAATAGATGTAAAAAAAATTAAAAGTGCGATTGATGTAAATCTTATTTGCAACTCTACAAAGTAGCAAATTTAAATTAAGTAAAAATATATACATCATATATAATTTTGAATTTAGCAGCAGCTGATTGCGACAATTGGGGACCTTTTGGGTGGATGCAAAAGGGCGCAGCCTCGTAGCGCGACGCGTAACTTAGCACTCATGGCGTTTAACGTGATTTTTTCTTCAACGAAAGATCAACGACAACTAAACTTTTGTTGACAATGCATCAAGAACAAAGCTTCACTTTATCGGCTTACAAAAGAATTAGACCGAAATCTTTCATTAACTGTCGTTAAAGTCGGCCACGCTCTTACTTGACCGACTGTATATATATATATATATATATATATATATATATATATATATATATATTAACAAAGTCTAATAAGCGGGCATAACATCAATAAAAAACATGAATTTCTTTCAAAAATTTATTTTAAATACTGACGTAACGGTTTACTGATTTTTCCACTGAATGGAAAAATAAATTATTATTTTTTTAATGCAGTCGTTTTGCCTTACTTTATTAAGTCACAATACAAAAAAATGACTTATTTAGAAAATTATTTAGAAGTTTCACTGTGTTAAAAATTCATATGCTTGGCATTGGATACGGAATATTTACTCAAGTCGATTGTGCGGTTTGGGTCTGAATTTTTTTACTGTTTTCCAATTTGTTTGAAATTTTGGAATTAGGTATATCTTACTCTCAAGTTCAAAAGTGAAAATAATCTAGACTCCTTTGCCACTCCGGGTGGATGACATTTCTTTTCAGTGGTGTAATTTAATTTTTTTCAAAATAACGTTGAGTATAGATAAATGAACTAAATATATATATGTTTAATAATGTTTTTCAAAAAATCAAATACTTTTTAAGTGACTGGCTACTGAAAATTTGTTTCTTTACGTTTTCCATCATTTTTTGCAAATATTTCTAAAAATATACGTTTTAACGAAAATCATGTAATGAACAAAATTATATCAATTAAAATCTTAATCAATCGGTGTTCTATAAAGTGTTCTAGGAGCAATAATAGGCTAGATAAGAAAATGGGGTTTTATAGTACTCAAAATAAGCTTTAAAATGAGTACTTGCGTGTAAAATGAGTGAACTATAATGAGTTTTTTCATTTAAATCAAATAGTTTGAATGCCATTTCCACCAAAATTAAAAATAATGGTATTCCCTCTAGAATTGACTTGGTTTAAGAGATCTTGACGAATTCTAGAACATACTACAACTTTAGTGCAAACAATTTCCACAAAGCTCATGATTTCATAAAAAAATCTATTTAAAAAAAACATCCAATTTTTCATTATTATATGTCTAAAAAAATAAAAGATACGTATATAGGTATATAGATGAAAATGCAAGGTCTTTTTTTTATCCGGCTTACATAGGTAATTGTAAATTCCATTTGTTCCTGGGTAGGCATAAGCGGTCAGTCTAGTGTTATTATGGTATGGGGCGTTGCAGGAGAGCAAGAAGGAAAACTAGATGTTAGCCACCATCTGTGGTCTTGTATTTGGGGGGCAATCACACTAGTAGAGGCTGATTCACTGTAAATGTCGCGCTCGTTAGTCATATAGTGATTTAAGTAATTTAGGTTAGTTTAAAGAACAAATTTTACATTGCTTATCGTCACATTAGTTATTTTTTCTAATGTTTTTGCACGCGTTATCATCGGGCTCATAGATTCTGGCGAACTAATCTATAATTCGGGTTACGCTTATTCCATTAAATCTAATACTACAACCAAGGAAATAAAATTTATTTCCAACCTCAATTTATTTCAATGCCGAGGGTTATACAATTTTTCAGTCATACCAGTAGATGTTTTTTTTTTTGTATAGCGAAGAAAATGCATTTATGCATCCCAGACAGGTCTTCTGTCTGGGTATGTCGGACTCGATAGAGCCCTGGTATAATACCGACTAAAACCTCCGCTATTCCCTTGCCTCTGGTCCACACGGAAACCGCCGTTAGGCATTACTTCGTGGGGGAAGGATCTAGAATGTTACAATTCTTAACTTGTTATAATTCATAAACATTATACTTATCTTTTAAATGGGCGAAGTCCCATTCGCCCTGTCTCTCTCTATAGAACGCAGGTCCATTAAAACGTCTCTCGCAAATCTGTCTATGGCGTTCCAAGCAGCATCACTTGTCAGCATCACTTCAACAACATTACCTGGAGTAATTCTGCGTCCCAATGTCTCTTCCACGTCATCCCGTAGAGCACCAAATCGCGGGCACACAGAGAACACAATCTCAGCATCTTTAATTTCGCGCAAACAATATGGGCAATCCGGCGAGCTATCGTGCTTGAAGCGGTGTAGGAAGGCTCGAAAACAGCCGTGCCCCGATAATTTTTATAACGCATTTGCGTAGTATAAAAAATTACTTCGCCGTACTTGCGACTTAGCCAGATTTCGATGTTAGGAATGAAACGATGCGTCCATCTGCCCTTTACTGCGACATCCCACAGTTGCTGCCATCGGTCAATGCTGTTCTGCCGTTCTTCTAATCTCAGCTTTTTAGGACTCAGTTGTTGATGTCTTCTATGGTAAATTGTCCGTCTTTCCTCTGCTAAGACTAAGAGAGGCACAGTTCCTGAAATAACGCACACTGCTTCCGCCGATATTATGCGAAATGCGCAAGCAATTCTTATAGCACCCAGACGATATATGGACCCTGCCATTCTTCTCGATTTTTGAGCTTTGAGAGCACCAGCCCATATGGAAATACCATATGTCAGCACCGAAGTAACCACTGATAATAGTAATATTCTTCTGGTTTGTTTAGGGCCTCCAATATTAGGCATCAGTAGAGCAAGTCTCGTCCTAACTATTGACGCCTTAGCACTAACGTGTTCCATCTGTTAATTGAAATTCAAACGAGTATCAAGCATTATGCCAAGGTTCCTATCTTTAGCTTGATGATCTCTATTGTTTTACAGCTAGTGATGAGATTGCTATGTGCTTCACTTTTTTGTTGTGCTAATTTGATGTTGTAACTACCAAGTTTATAGCATCTTATTAATTAATAATTTATTGCGAAAACCATACTGATTGTCTGCTAGGATTGGGTCAACTACTGCATCTATTCTTTGGTGAATTATTCTTTCAAAAATTTTACCCGCTGTATCCAGCATGCATATTGAACGGTAGGATGATGGTTCATCTTGTGGTTTTTTTCCTTTAGGAATAAGCACTAATCTTTGCAGTTTACATTTTCGTGGAAAACCCCCTTCTTTCATGCATGTATTACATGCATTAAGAAACATTGTCGGAGATGTCATAATCGATGTTTTTAAGGCAATATTAGGAATTCCATCTAATCCCGGTGCCTTACTATTTTCAACGCGATGACAAGCTTTCATCAGTTCTTGCAGTGTTATATATAGAATATTATGTATGTATGTTTGACGTTGATTTGTATAAATTGGTATAAAAGAGGATCGCTTAAGTTAGAACACTTATAACTCACAAACGGCTGGATCGATTTAGATGAGAATTGGAAGGGAGGTTTTTAGAGCCAGGAGAAACATATGTAATACTTTTTATCCCGTGCACAGATTATCTTTGATTTATGCCATGCTTACGAGTCATACTCATATCACAGGCTTCGGTTATTCTCTCCATCAGCTCTCTGGT